CCATCCATCCATCCATCCATCCATCCATCCATCCATCCATCCATCCAGCCATCCATCCATCCATCCATCCATCCATCCATCCATCCAATTCCGCTTGTTCTGAAGTCGGGTCGCGGGGCAGCAGCTTGAGCAGGGAGGCCCAGACATCTCTTTTCACAGTCTCCTCTTCCAGCTCTTCTGGGAGGACTCCAAGGTGTTCATAGGCCAAAGAGAGACTTAGTCTCTCCAGCGTGTCCTGGGTAGAGCTGTCATTTCTAACCCGAACCCCGGTCCCGCCCGACCCGGATTCAGACCGGGCCAGGCCATAATAATGTGTTTAATGTGTGGGCCATGTCTGTGTCGGGCTTGTTATTGTGTCAGGAACGCGCACAGCCGACGATCCATTATGCCATCATGGCTTGCCATAGTACACCTGCCGCACATGGCTATTTGACCGTGCACTGACCGGCTGGTTGAAAGAGGTAAAAAGTTCACTTAAACTTCAGATGGACCACTGTCAGCGCTCCATCAGCTCAAATGGACGTTCATTCGCAGCAGAGACCCACACAGGTGAGATCACAAAATATCCGACATGTCAGAGCAGGATACAGGCAGAAGCAAGGGAAGCATTTAATGCGCTTTGAGAGCTCTTCAGCTCTGATCTTCTGCCCCCTCAGCCGTGCGCATCCACCAAACGTTAATAATAGTCGGTGGTATAGGCAGTCAAAGTTTATATTGGTTGTTGTTTGTGGATTAAAAAAAACGTCAGTTGACTCAAAGTTAATCAGACATATGTGTACATCCAAAGATTATTTTCTAAAAGTTTTATTAAAATGCATCCAGTGGTTCATGGGATATTTTGCCAACAGACACAAACAATAAAACTGTAACAATTTACTTTTAAGCAATGGGCGATAAACTATTCCAAGCTTGACATTTAACAGACTGGAATAAACCACATCATCTTTTTCTGTTTCAACAACCAAAGAGAAAATGGATAAAAGTGATGAATCCATTATTCAATATTCATCCATTCATTATTTTCTCTTTTTAACCCCTAAATATGCAGGAAAGATAGTGGCATTTCCATTTGCTACAAAAGAGAATTACCACCATCGGCATAGTGGGACATTTAAGCCCTTGCTGACTTAGTGGTCATTAAAAGTTTCAGAGACAGAAACTCCTGCTGTTAAGTCAATATGTAAACTCTATTTGCCTTTCAAAGACGAACACTACACACGGATGCAGCATGTGACGTGGCTGTCCTCATCACATGCTGCAGGCCATGTGATGCAGCAGCAGTGGGTTAAGACAAAGTACACTAAGCAGCACACCTTAGAGTGCTGGCCGGATTACTGCCTTCTGTCCTACATATCCCAGCACTGGTTACGTGACGAGCCAGGAGCGTTCTAGCCACAGTCCAACAAATGTGCCAGCAGACGGATGGAAACATTCTGAAAGGCCTCTCTGACATTTCCAGAATAATTCAAAACAGCCAGAGTGGGTAAAAAAAAGGGACCAGAGGTTTCCTTTATTGCCCTGCAACAATAGCAAATCCACAACCAAAACAAAAGCTACGCTGCGTTAGTCGTGACTTTAGCCTCAGAGCTTCTCACAGGTTCTATTTAAAACACAGTGAGCTTGGACTGTCACAAACACCTTATTGGTTTAAATAGATTTAACGTCTCCGTGTAAACTTGTGCAGCCAGTTACTCTACATGTTGGTGAAGAGTTAAACAAAAACTGTGTTTAATGCGCAGTGTAGTATCATTCTAACATGATAAAAGCATTTCGAGTGACCATCATGTCCAACTACAGAAAAGGTTTCACAGCTCTGCACAACAAGAGAAGAATATTTGTCATATTTATTTATTAATCTTAAATTCACCAGGCAAATCCCACTGAGGTCGCAGATCTTTTGCATAGGAGGTCTGCGCCCGAAGGCAGCCTAACGTGCATGTTTTTGGCACCCACATAAACACGAGGAGAACACGCAAACTCCACACAGAAGAAAGTCCAAACTGGGAATTGAGCCCTGGACCTTCTTGCTGTGAGGCCACAGTGCTAACCACTAAACTGCCCATCATATGTTGCAGAAACTGCTCGCCATGAATCAGAACAGTCTACCTGCTGCTGTTCATGTTGGGTGAGAAAGATGTGAAGGTTTTGACTCCACAATCAGGAGGTTCACTTACCTCCGACACAGTTTCATGCATGCACATGACTTCAGCAATCAAACCTAATTAGTCATTTATTAAACAATCATGTAAAGAGGTTTTCATGGATTAAATCTTGTAGTAACTTTAATGAATATCTTTGCAAATTCAGACAAATGTATACTGTAGCGCCTTTTAGACATCATCGACTTGGTTCAGTGGAGAGGATGTCCTGTTGCACCATTTAAATGTTTTTTTACAACGTTATGCCTTTCAGTGATGCACAGCAAAAATGGGCTCATGAGCATAATCAATTTCCCAAGGATTTTATTCAGCCATTTCTTACACTGAAAATCACATCAGTAGCCTAATAAAAGGGTCCGGTCAAACGCAGAGATTTGTAGTGAAGATTAAAATGATTAGGTCTTAATCAGTTTGGGTGATTAAATCAAAATATATCTCTAAAAAAACAGTGACTGTGATTACATTGGGACAGCTGTAATGTCAATATTTAATAACCTAAACACATAAATGCAGGACACAGACTGACCTCAGATTTTTAAGCCAGTCTGTGTCATATATTACTATATACAATAAATTCTAAAAAGAGGGGGAAACCATGGTTAACAAAGGGACTGAAAAAATCATGTAAAGGTAAAAATAAGCTTTATAGACGATTCACTAAACATCAAACAAAGGAGAAGGAAGAATAAGAAAAATATAAATAGGCTGACATACAGTGTCTTGTGCAAGTATTCAGCCCCTTGAACTTTTCAACCTTTTGCCACATTTCAGGCTTCAAACATAAAGATATAAAATTTTAACTTTTTGTGAAGAATCAACAACAAGTGGGACACAATCGTGAAGTGGAATGAAATTTATTGGATGTCAAACTTGTTTAACTAATAAAAAACTGAAAAGTGGGGCGTGCAATATTATTGGGCCCCTTTACTTTCAGTGCAGCAAACTCAGTCCAGAAGTTCAGTGAGGATCCAGACCTGAATCCAATCCAGAATCTGTGGAAAGAGCTGAAGACTGCTGTTCACAAACGCTCTCCATCCAACCTCACTGAGCTCCAGCTGTTTTACAGGAAGAATGGGCAGAACTTCAGTGTCTCCATGTTCAAAACTGATGGAGACAAACCCAAAGAGACTTGCAGCTGGAACTGCAGCTGGAACTGCAGCAAGAGGCGGAGCTACAAAGTATTAACGCAAGGGGCCCAATAATATTGCACGCCCCACTTTTCAGTTTTTTATTTGTTAAAAAAGTTTGACACGTCCAATAAATTTCATTCCACTTCACGATTGTGTCTCACTTGTTGTTGATTCTTAACAAAAAATTAATATTTTATATCTTTGTGTTTGAAGCCTGAAATGTGACAAAAGGTTGAAAAGTTCAAGGGGGCCGAATACTTTCACAAGACACTGTAGTCTGTCATATAGAATAGAATAGAATAGAATAGAATAGAATAGAATAGAATAGAAT